CTCATAAGAAGATCTTCCTTCGAAACGGCAAGACATTCCGGAGATCACCGTCAATATATATTTTTCTATGATTATATATATTATTTTTGTTCACTTTTCTATGATTCTTTAAAGACATATATTAAGCGTCACTTTTTCACAGTTTTTCTTGTTCTCAGTATTATCTCATTACTGTGCCAATCAATTGTTACTATTGCCAGGAGCTCTATGGGAAGAACTTCCTGTAAGTAGACGAGGCTTTATATTCAGGCAACAGGACCTGCGTGCGGGGTTCTCCCACCCTCCGGGGGATTGGTAGCCCTACCTCCAGGGGAAACTGGTTGGCCACTGTGTGAAACAGAATGCTGGGATAGATGAACCGCTGGTCTGATATCCGCAGGGCTCTTCTTATGATCATGTCTTCACTACCGAGTTAAGTTAGCTTCATTTCCCTACTGCTAGGGAACTCTGGGAATTCTAGTTCAGCATCATCACCAGGTGATAATCCCCAAGATCTATTTGGGGAGCCTTGACAGATAAACGGATATAAGTTTGTAGTGTAGTAAAAGGTAAAGGTTTCCCTTGCTCGAAAGCCAGTCGAATCCGACTCTAGGGTTGCGCTCATCTCCGTTTCCAAGCCGAAGAGCCAGCGCTGTCCGAAGACTTCTCCGTGGTCATGTGGCCGGCATGAATAAACACCAAGGCGCACGGAACGCTGTTCCCTTCCCACCGAAGGGGTACCTATTTATCTACTTGCAATTTTTTGCTTTCGAACTGCTAGGTTGGCAGGAGCTGGAACTAGAGACGGGAGCTCACTCCGTCATGGGGCACCCGGGTCTCGAACTGCTGAACTACTGACCTTCCACAGCCTGCAGTTCAGCGTCTTAACTACTTGAGTCACCGCAGCTCCTTTGTAGTGTAGACAGGGGGCATTTTTGTTTTGGAGTCTTTCCCTTGCTCTTCAAGCTTATTGTTCATGCAGGAGGTTGGAGTTGTTACTAATGCACACAAGTGTTCGGGCATTAGGGACAGATTCATGCAAGAGGTTTATTTAATGCCCCTTCTCCCATTTTTGGCAGAAATCAGGCAGAATCCTCCGGTCTTAATTATTAGATACTATCTTCTCCCAAGTAGGAGGCTCAACTATGCAGTGTCTTTGCTAAACATAAAGTTTTTAAGTGTCTGGTGCCACCTGCAGGCTTCAGAGAGAATTACACCATTAAAAAGGGAAAAATCAGCCCTAGCCCAGAATCTTGGGGCGGTTTTCACAAGTGACTTGTTCAGTGTTCCCTCTAAGCTGAGTTAATATGAGCCGGCTCACAGTTTTTTAGCCTCTGGCTCACACATTTTTGTCTTCACTCAGGAAGGATGGCTCCGGAGCAAACTGATTTATGCAGCAGCCAAATCGTTCGCTCACAACTTTAATACCAGTAGCTCATAAAGTAGAATATTTGCTCACAAGACTCCAGAGCTTAGAGGGAGCATTGCTTGAGATGTGTATTTTACAATTTTTTTAAAAAAAGTAGTTTGTGCAGATGTCAGCTCGATGAAATGGAGGATCTCCTTCTGCGACTACCGAGTTAAGTTAGCTTCATTTCCCTCCTGCTAGGGAACTCTGGGAATTGTAGTTCTGTGAGTTACAGGTCTCTATCAGCATCATCACCAGGTGATAATCCCCAAGATCTATTCTGGGAGCCTTGACAGATAAACGGATATAAGTTTGTAGTGTAGACAAGGGGCATTTTTCTTTTGGAGTCTTTCTCCTGCTCTTCAAGCTTATTGCTCATGCAGGAGGTTGGAGTTGTTACTAATGCACATGAGTGTTCGGGCATTAGGGACAGATTCATGCAAGAGGTTTATTTAATGCCCCTTCTCCCATTTTGGGGAGAAATCAGGCAGAATCCGCTGGTCTTAATTATTAGATGCGATCTTCTCCCAAGTAGGAGGCTCAGCTATGCAGTGTCTTTGTGAAACATACAGTTTTTAAGTGTCTGGTGCCATCTGCAGGCTTCAGAGAGAATTACACCATTAAAAAGGGAAAAATCAGCCCTAGCCCAGAATCTTGGGGCGGTTTTCACAAGTGACTTGGTTCAGTGTTCCCTCTAAGCTGTTAGTGTGAGCCGGCTCACAGTTTTTTAGCCTCTGGCTCACACATTTTTGTCTTCACTCAAGAAGAAGTATGTATCCAGAGCAAACAGATTGATGCAGCAGCCAAATCGTTCGCTCACAACTTCAATACCAATAGCTCACAAAGTAGAATATTTGCTCACAAGACTCCAGAGCTTAGAGGGAGCATTGCTTGAAATGTGTATTTTTTAAAAAGTAGTTTGTGCAGATGTCATTTCGATGAAATGGAGGATCCCCTTCTGCATAGCGAAAGATTCAGTTTTTGAATTGATTGAGATGTTCTTCTTAATAAAGAGTTTAAGGAACAAATGGGACCGATGCTCCCTCTCTGAGCTCTGGAGCCTTGTGAGCAAAGATTCTACTTTGTGAGCTCCATGCACTAAAGTTGTGAGCGAGCGACTTGGCTGCTGCATAAATCAGTTTGCTCTGGAGCCACCCTTCCTGAGCTAAGAGAAAAATGTGTGTGCTAGAGCTAAAAACAGTGAGCTAGCTCACACTAACTCAGCTTAGAGGGAACACTGGATCCAGCTTCAAAGTGTTTCTGTGTATGTGCAGAGAGCCCTGCACCACTGAAGGAACACAGCTGAAATGACCTCTTTTAAAGGGCTTGTGCAAACAGAAAAGGGACGGGTCTGTCCCTTTTAGCTGTGATAACCAAATGGAACCTCTGTGTACATCAGCAGTATATCTTGCTATGCCAGTTGCTAGTAGCAGACCATGGGAAGGATGGTTGCCTAAATGCTCTGCTTGTGAGCCCAGACTTTGCAAGACATGGAATGCTAGCCTAGACAGATATTGGGTTCGATCCAGCAGGGCTCATAGTTGCGTTCATAAATTCAGGATCCTATCCCATTTGCCTTTGTTTAGGCCTGCTAAGATCCAGAGTGGTGTAGTGGTTAAAGTGTTGGACTAGGATATGGGAGACCTGGGTTTGAATCACCATTTATGCCAAGGAAGTTTGCTGGGTGATCTCGGGCCAGTCATACATTCACAGCCTTACTGACCTCACAAGGTTGTTGTGAAGATAAAGTAGAGGAGAGTGAACTCAGGAGGCATTTAAAGTTTAAATGCCTTCTGAACACCATTATACCCTATGGGGACAGTCCCCATAGGATATAATGGAGCTGAATAAATTTGGGTTTTGCAAATATTTACCTGAACCCCAATACAATACTGATATTTGGGATTGAGGAATATTCAGGAATACTGATATTTCTCGAATCCAATAAACCTGAATTGGGGGGGGGGCTTTTTTCTTCTTTTTTTGCACACCTCTAGTCCCCATTGATGCAACGAACATGAAGTTGAGCAAACTTCAGAGGACGGCGGAAGACCGGAAGGCCTGGCGTGATCTGGTCCAGGGGGTCGCGAAGAGTCGGACTCGACTGTGCGACTGAACAACAACAAAAGTCCCCATTGGGGTGAAAGGTGGGGGAATAACTGAAGCAAATGAACAGACTGGCAGGCAGGCAGACTGACAGACGGACAGACAGACAGATACTGAAGAAGTGTGCCTGCACACAAAAGCTTATACCCAGAATTAAACTCCGTTGGTTTTAAAGGTGCCAATGGACTCAAACTTTGTTTAGATAGATGACAGAAGAAAGAAAGAAAGAAAGAAAGAAAGAAAGAAAGAAAGAAAGAAAGAAAGAAAGAAAGAAAGAAAGAAAGAAAGAAAGAAAGGTAGGGAGATGGCAGCACATAGATTAGAGATGAGAGATGAGAGAGAGAGAAACAGACAGACGGATGGATGATGGGTAGATATAGATAGATGATAGATGATAGATGATAGAGAGAGAGACAGACAAGCAGACAGACGGATGGATGGATGGATGGATGGATGGATGATGGGTAGATATAGATAGATGAGAGCGAGAGCGAGAGAGAGATGATGGGTAGATAGATGGATGATAGGTAGATTGATAGATAGACATACAGAGTTATGATGCTCCAACAGCTGGAGACAAATTCTCTGGACTTGCCGTTGTTTAAATGACTTTTATTAAAGTTTGGCCACACATCATTCCAGCCCTGATGGGCTGCTAATAAGAAGACATCATTTGGTGTATCCAGGGTGTGTAATTGCATACTTTGGTGTAGACACTGGGATGGCCCTTCATGGCACACTCGTAGCCCCAGGAGACGATTCCCTGCAGCTGCCCGTTGCATTCCAAAGGCCCTCCGGAGTCTCCCTGCGAAGCAGACACAGAGAGAGAGGCGTCATCGCTAGTCGGAGCCAGCCCGGCTGGGCTGCTTGCGGAGGTCAGCCCACGGTTTGTCAGGAGGCCGTTCCCAGCGAGGAGTGCTGGGCCAGTCTCTCATTTCCCAGTGCCTGGCAGGAGCCCGGGGAAAACAGCACGCAAGAGAGTTGCTTTCTGCTGCTTCCTGCAATTACCTCTCGCACAGGGGTAATGGGAAGTCCTCCTGAGATGAAGCAAAGTTTGCAGACCAGGCTTGTAGCTACAGCGGGGCATTTGGGGGCCCGGCCCCCTTAATTAAAAGCCCCGCCCCACAAATAGCCTCGAAAGGGAGAGCTAGAAACAGGCTTGGACTTTAAAGACAGGCATTCAGATTTATTTAATTAACTGTGATTTAAATGCCCCCGAACAACAAAAAAACTCCCGGCTACGGGCCCGTCGCAAATGACCCCTGATTGTTCAGAGTGGTGAAAACACCAGGAGACTATGAGGAGCCACAAAAGAACGTCTCCAAACTGCATGCATGAGGAACAAAATGGCAGCACATAGAACCTCCACATCCAGAGGCAGTAAACCTCTGAATACTAGTGCCAGGAGGCAACATCAGGGGAAGAGCTCGGCCTCTATGGCCTGTTGTTGGACCTCTAGAGGAACTGGCTGGCCACCAAGTGACACGGGTTGCTGGACTAAATGGACCACGGATCTGTTTCGGCAGGGCTCTTCTCCTGTTCTTATGTTCAGATGATATTCAATGTACATAAGTGAAAAATAACGTATTATCAGGCCAAAACCCCTCCCCTTAATTTCACGTATAAGGTGATGGGGTCTGATCCGGCTGAGATTTAGAGGGAAACAGATCTTGGGGTTGTAGTGGACAGACCAGTGAATACATTGATTTGGTGTGTGGAAGTTGTGTGTGTGTGTGGGGGAAATGCAAACTCCATGCCGGAGATAAGAAGGGGATGGGGTGTCATAGAATCCACCTCCTGAAGCTTCCATTTCCTGCAGGGAAACTCATTTCCGGAGATCAGTTGCAATTCTGGGGGAACTCCAGCCCTTACCTGGAGTTTGGTAACCCGGGCTTGGATGATCTAGAATGGGGTTGGAAAAATTTAAGGTGGATCGGTCCCGTTGTAGCCACGTGGAGAACGAAATCTGGAGACTGCTCAGTGGTTTCCACATCGCGTTTCCCCACATTCTTATTTTGCTCACTTGTAAGTTCTTGTTTCTCCATTTTTTTAAAAAAAATGTTCTGCATGTGTTTTCTTGCTCCCTCTAGTGGTCAGTTCTATATTACAACGAGTTGTGTCGGGCATAAAAAACTGCCATTTCAATCTCCAGGGAGATATGCCTGACATAACCAGATGTAATATCGAATTGAAGTCTGATAAAGGGCCAATATTAAGAACCTAGATGAAACTTATAATATACAAAAAATACATGTATTTATTAGAAAGACAATTAAAAACATATAAGGGCCCGATGAAAGCCTCGTTAAAAAGTTCAAGTGGCCTAAAACACACGGGCCAATACACATGACCTAAAACATTTCTGCCCTATTGGGGCCTTCTTCAGAAGTCAAACAGTATTGAGGTACATGTAACAATAATACATATTACAATAAGATAACCAATAAGTGAATACTGGATCAAGAAAAGGAAGGTTAAGCAGCAAGCTCTATAGACACAAGACAAAGGGCTCTTTTTGTAGCAGGAACTCATGTGCATATCAAGTGACACACCCCCTAACGTAGCCAATCCTCCAAGAGGTTACAGAACTCTCCTTACTGGGGCTACTGTAAGCTCTTAGAGGATTGGCTACATTAGGGGTGTGTTGCCTAATATGCAAAGGAGTTCCTGCTACAGAAAGTGCCCGTGTCTGATGCCAAATGCACAGTTGCTGAATTAGAACATCTTCCAATTTAGGTCCAAAAAGCACCCGTGTGGCTATCTTAGTCAAAGCTAGAGTGTCCTCAAGCCCAGGGGTCGTTTCGTAGAAAAAG